GCTACAACCGCAGCCTCACATCCAAGATGAGTGGCAGGGTCCCAAAGCCTGTGCTTTCTCCCCTGTGCTTCACAGTGTATTTCCTGATAGGAATACAGTATACGATGGGTATGAGTAAAATATATGACAGGTAAAAATGAAACGTGCTATGGATACAAATACCATACACAGCCACCTCTCCAAGTAGTGGCTAATATTTATTTTCTATGTGACACACAGTATTCTAGTATGCAATATATTATTTAATCCCCACCATGACTCTGTGAAGTCAACACAGCCATCCTTTGCTAGCCACAGAGGATTGAATCCAGAATGTTCCATTATACCAAATTCCAAGGATGCTCTAGTCCTTTATGCCAAATAGTGTAGCATTTGCATATAACCTCTGCCATCCCCTACAAATCGTCTCTGTCTGGATTATCTATAAAACTTAATACAGGGTAAATACTAAGCAAACAGTTGTTATTGTTTAGGGAGTAATGGTAAGAGAAAAGTGTGTATGTATTCAGTAGAGATGCAGTTTTTTCCTCTGGTATATTCTCTCTAGAAATGGCGGAGTCCTTGCACACGGAGTGAGCAGGTGCCAAGGGCTGGCTGTGATATCCTGGCTCTAATGTTCACATGGAGGAACTGACTTTTCACTGGCACAGGGAAGGTCCTTCCCTGTAAGCTCTGTGTTGGTATTTGGAGCACTGCTCCTTCTAGACAAGCAGTTACCACAGGCTCAGACTCAGGGACACTGGGACCAGGTCTGGCTCAGCCCTTTCTGCTCTGGTATCCCTCTTCTCCTTGGAGAGGTTGTGGGAACCCCATGAACTAAGGGACATGGCTGGACACAGCCCCCCTCTGGAGGCTGGAGGCTCAGGCTGAGCTCCTGGGGCTCGCCAGGCCTGTCTTCCATGGGTCTGGATGGGGGCAACCTGTCTCCTTGGCAGAGCAGGCTGCAGCCTGAGGCTCCTGGGCATGCATGGCTCTGTGAACTGTGCAAGAAAGGGAGGCCCTGCCAGCATGCCACAGGCCAGCACCCTCGTGGGCACCATCTGGGATGCGCTGAGCAGGAGTCAGGGCCCGCCAATGGCTGCCTCTTCCACCCGTGGCCACACCTTCCCGTGCACACAACGGTGCACTTGGCCCAGCAAAGCTGTCAGAGGAGCAGGAGTCAGCAGTGTCTCTGTGGAGCCTTTTTAAGACAAAAATAAGCATGTTGGTAACAGACACACGGTAAACCTGTACTATGGCCAGGCAGGTTGGTAAATGCTTTCTATAGTTCCACTCAACCACTGCCTCACACCTTACATGGCGTGACTACAGTGGAAAAGGCAAGTACTCCAATGATCTCTGTCTTATAGATGAGGAAACAGAGGCACAATGCTGCCAAGAGACTTACCTGGGGTTGTGCACCGTGTGAGCTTCACAGCCAGGTTTTAAGCATGGCTGGCAGTCGTGAGCTCCAGGTCAGTGGGTTCTGTCTGGAACCTTCTGTTCCCTTTTCTTTTGCTTCCTGACTGCTACAAGGTGAGCTGTTTCCTTAGCCCCAAGTTCCCATCCTGATATTCGGCCTTACCATAGGCCCCAAAGCAGCAGGGCCAACCAAGCATGGACTGAATCACCCACAAAACTGGGAGCCCAAACAACCCCCCCTTTTTTGTCAGTCGTGAGGCTTGAACTCAGGACCTGAGCCCTGTCCCTGAGCTCTTTTGCTCAAGACTAGCACTCTACCACTTCAAGCCACAGCTCCTGTTCTGTTTTTTTTTCTTTAATTGAGTGCTTAATAGGAGATAAGAGTCTTATATGGGCTTTGAACCGTAATCCTCAGATCTCAGCCTCCTGAGTAGGTAGGATTACAGGTGTGAGACACGGGTGAACCAAGTAAGCACTGAAAACCAGCAAGCAAGTCAGGCAGAACAGAATGTAAACAGAATGCAACAGAATGTATTCAGCTTTGAAGTGCCATCATTTTCTTTGAGAGAGGGTTTTCCCCTGTAACCCAGGTGGCCCTTCAAACTCATTAACTTCCTGTCTCTACCTCTTGAGTGTGGGGGTTACAGGCATGTACCCCCATGTCCTGCTCCAAGTGTTAACAATTCTTTATCAATTTCCTTTGAGAGTGGAACTGTAGAGAAGCATAATCCATGACTGTGTCTATTGAATTGTCTCCTATAGACACGATGTGGCGCTTGATCTGTAACAACTGCATTTAACTGGCTCAAAGCAAGTGGCAGAAATGAGGGTAATTTTTTTCAGCAGGGTATTAGAGGATAAATCAATGGGATTGAAAACTGTTGAAACAAGTCTTTCTATAGTCCAGACTAGATAATTCAGTTACCTTAATAATGATGTGTCTGGTGATAAAGCTAGGTGGGAAAATTGACTTCTGAACAGTGTGGCTTGGTGTATATTCTCTCTCTCCCTCTCTCTCTCTCATAATTTATTAGGAATCATATTCAGTAACATGAGCTATACCCCTAGCCCATTTGTTTAGATGTTTTTTTCTTTTGGTAGTACTTGGTATTTTATCAGGGCCTTGTGCTAAGCTGGTGTGCTACCAATGGAGCCACACTGCCAGCTCTTCTCTTTCTTTCCTCTCCTCTTGTTCCTCTTCCTTCTTTCCCCCTCATTCTTCCTTTTCCTTACGTGTTAATGGGTTTTAGCAGGGGTGGCTGGTATGGACAAGGCCTTCGCTCAGGCCTTTAGCTTTGCAGCACAGCCTGGAGCCCAGTTGTCATGATCGTATGCTCACCTCTAAAGGTTGTGGGTTCCACATGACTGACCCAGGATGGTCTTCCACATGAAGAGACATCTCCCCACTATGTGCCAGAGGCAGATTCTTCTTTTGAATGAACGACTGGCCTCCTCTACTCGAAAGAGGCCAGGTACACTTAACCCACTTTCCTACGAGTCTGATCATGAGCGACTCCCAAGCTCTTCACATCAGTAGCTCTCACCAGAGAAGACTCAGTTTTAGGGTCTGCACTGATAGACACATGTGGTGTGCGTGGAATGTGATCAGAATCACATGGGGATCTAAAACCAGTGGCCTACGGCACTAGCCACAACTGTAAGCTATGGAAGGCACTGGACACTCATTGGTGGCTGATTGGAGAAAGGGAAAGTGATACACATACACAGTAGAACAGTATTCAGCTAACAAGAAGGACTAGCCAGGTTTTTGGGGTCTCCTTTGCAAGGGGCACTGATCTCCCCATTCTAACCCCAGGATGCAAATCACCTTGTAAAGGCCTCTAACCCTAATAGCATCCCCTTGGCAGATAGGATTTTGACACATGAGTGGGAGGGGGTGGGCTGGTAGTGAAGGGGGCAGGGTTAGAAAGGAAGCTGGAAAACGGGTTAACACACAAGACTCCTTCCCCTCCAGGCCTGAGGGGGAGGCGCAGAGGCAGGCGCCCGGGATACAGGTGATTGCAAGGATGGCCAGGGTTCTCACTTGGCAATGCGCCTTATGCCCAGGCACAGTTCCATCGAGCGGCCCACATACAGTTAGACCCGCGTCCTCTAGCTCACTCCCTCAGCTAGCTTAGAAATGACAACCTCAGGGAGACTCTAGCGGGGTGCAACTCAGAAAGCAAGGAGGAAGAAAGTGTGTGTGTGGGGTGGCGGTGCGAGGTGTCTAGGTGGCTGCCTTTGCGGTTCGGCTCCTGACTCCTGAGATCAGAGGAGTGGGCTCCCGTGCGGGGGTGGCCAGGCACAAGGAGAAGCTTTGGAGCAGACTCTGTGCGGGTGTGTGCTGTCGGCGCGCCTGTGCGTGGAGGGGGGGGGGATTGCTGTACCCAGCGCCAGGCACTGGAGGAGGAGGAGGAGGAAGAAGAGGAGGAGGAAGCGGTAGCGGAGATCTGAATAATTGATTCTTCAGCCGCACCAGACGCCCAGGAGCGGGCGGAGAGCGTGGTTCCAGCACCACGGACAGTGGTGCGCGCCGCCGCCGCAGGCGCCCTCGTCACCAGCCCGGCACCCATCTCGGCCTGGTTGCCGCTGTGCGCTCCGGGAAGCCGGAGGTGGCCGCGCTCCGCGCCGCCGCCCAGGGACTGCGGGGTCTGCCTCGGCCCGCCTCCGGGGAGGGCGGCTGCGGGCGGGCGGGCGGGCGGAAGACGTTCTCGCCCTCCGGAGCTCCAAGCGTCCGCGGCTGGCGCGGGGGCTGCTGCTGTCTCCACTGGCTTTAAGAACAAGTGCTAAGTTGGCGTGCTCGGCACCTCTGCCTCCCTCTTCCTCCTCGGCGGCGACCATCGGCACAAGCAGGTCCCGGGAAAGCTGGCCCGGCCCGTGCCGGGAAGCAGGGTGGCCAAGGCGCCCTGTGGACTCCCGCTGGCAAGTGGGGGTGCCGACCGCGCCGCCCAGGGCCGCCGAGGGAGCTGCCTTGCCCCGCCCGCGCCTCTCCCGGCCGGGGACCGCGGGGATCCCCGGCCACACGCGCGCACGCACGCGCTCCCCTCGCACTCACGCACACACTCGCCCTCACACACACTAGCCTGGAGCGGGGCTGCGGAGATTGTGCGCGGGCGCGCTCGGGAGGACCGGGCGGCTGCCGTCCGGACAGCCGGGAGGGGTGTGTGTCTGTGGGTCCCCCCCCCCGGAGGCAGAGCCGGGGGGCTCGCTGAGGGAGGCTGCGAGGGCTTGGCCGGAGCATGGGGCCCGGTGAGCTCTGAGAGTGGCGGCCGCAGCCATCAGCCCTGGAGATGACCGGGAGCGGCCACTGCTGAGAACTATGTGGAGGGAGGCTGCGGTGAGTGCTGGCGCGGGACGCCGAGCCCGGAGGCTCCTTGGGAAGGGGGGGGGGCGGTGGGAGGCCTGGAGAGGAGGGTGCGGGGCGGAGGACTGCGAGAGGGGTCGCTACGTGGGAGTGATCGCACCTCCCTCGGGGATCCGGGACCACGGGAGCTCGCGTCCTTCCCTCCCCCTCTTCTCCTGCTAGCTCGTCGCAAACTCAGCCAGCGCCCCCTCCTTCGCTCCTCGTTCTCTCCCTACCCCCCCTCGCACCCCCCCTAGCTCAGCAGCTCCCGGTCGCACAACTCCCAGCAGCCGGCGGCGCCCGGGAGGTGGTAGGGGGGCGAGGATGGAGGCGCCCAGCTAGCTTCTCGTGGGTGGCCCACACCCGGGGCCCCCTGTCCCCCTGTGCGCCCCTGAGCGGAGCTGGCGTTGTCCACTACCGACCCCGAGGAACCCGCATCGGGGGAGGGGGTCCGGTGGGGGGGTCGTCTCGGGCGCCGAGCTTCAAGCTCGGGCTCTGTGGTCGAGCCCCCCGGGGCGCGTAAGGGGGGTAGTGAGCATTGCAGACTGCAGCGTTCCCCTCCCCACCCCCCTTCCCGCACGCCACCGTGGGCTGACCCTGCCTCTCCATCTCTCCTCCGCCCGGGCAGAGCCCTGCTGCAGCGCCTCTGGCTGGGATAGCCGCCCCCCGTGGGGGCGATGCGGACAGCGCGGGACAGCCTGGCGAGCGCGCGGGGGCCGCAGCATGCGGGAGCCCGCTAAACCCGGTGGCTGCTGAGGCGGCCGAGATGCTCGTGCGCGCAGCGCGCCCCACCGCATCCTCGACCTTCCCCGGCTACAGGTACGTCCCAGCGGGAAGAGCTGCGCGCGCGGTGGGCCCTCGAGGGGAGGGAACGGACTAGGTTGGAGGGAGAGCGGGAGAGAGGGATCTGGAGAGCCGGGAGCATGGAAGCGGGAGAGGGAGCCCGGGAATCAGGCGGCGGAGGGGCACTAGGGGGCGCTGCGGCCCCGCACTCCGCCGGGCTCCCCCAAAGAGGCCAGAGCGAGTTCGCCCCAACTTCCCCCGGCTCCAGCTGCGCCCCGACCGAGGGGCGCGCGCGCACACGCGTGCCCGGGCAGGCCGGGGGTTCGCGGGCCAGGCGGGTCGGTGCACCTGGCGCGGCGCGGGGCTCGCGTGGGCGCCACCTGAGGACCCGCGGGGGACACCAGCTGGCTGTGGGAACCGCTACGGTGGCCTGCGGATGTGCGCAGAAAAGCGCGCGTGTCTGAGAGCGTGTGCGGCCCGCTGTCCACGTGCACCTAGGATCTGGCCACTGGGCCCGCAGTGGAAGGGCTAGGGAGGGGGCTGGACGGTTCCCATCCATACAAGAGCCTGGGGCGGGGGGGGGGCGGGGGAGCCTACCTTGCGCCCCCCACGCGCGTTATTTGCCAGCTCCCACGCGCTGGCCCGCGGGGGACGGCGCCTACTCTTCAGAATTCTGCACTGCACACAGCGTGTGTGTGTGCTCGCGCGTGTGTGCACACGAGAGTGTGGAGGGGGGCGGGTCCAGGGCCCGCTGGCAGGGGAGTGAAAGCCTGTCCACGGCCCCCTCCGCATGAGTGTGAGCGCGCGCGCGCGCGTGCGTGTGTGTATGTGTGTGTGTGTGTGTGTGTGCGCGCGGGGGGGGGGACGGGCCCCAAGTTCCCCAGGTACCTAGGAGAGGGGACCCACAGGCCGGCCGTAACCCTGCAGAGGAGCGGGGAGGGGGCGTCTGCGGCGGCGGGCACGCGTGAAGCGAGGTCTGTGGCGCACCCGGCCAGCTTGTGAGGTGTGGGATCGGCCAGCCCGCGCAGCACGCAAAACAGGCTGCGGCGCTGGGTGGGGGGCCGGGGCGCCGCCTCCGCACACCGGGGCTGGTCGTCCGCCGCTGCCCGCGGGCAGGAGGCGGGGTCCGTAACTTGGTCTGGGCAGCGCGCGCAGTGGAAGATGGGTGGACAGGGGGTCTCGTTCCGTGCAGCTTCCCGTGGCGTGGCAGCAGCGACGGTGGAGTCCATGGCTTGCCCGACGCCCAGGGGCCGTGGGTGGGTGGGGGGGCAGCTGGTGAGGGGAGCAAGGTGGGGGATGTGGACAGATGGGGGGGGGAAGGGGAAGCGTCAAGGTCAAGGGACAAGAAGGAGACCACCTGGGAGAATGGGCCTGGGGTCAGGGGTGGAGACTTTGCTGGGATTGGAGTTGTGGGTAGAGTTGGAAGGGGCGGCGGGGGCGGTGTGTGGGGGGTGGCGGGAGGGATGTGGATGGCGTCGGGCTGGATGGAGCAAGTGACGACGACGAGGGCAGCCAGTGCTGGGTAGGTTCCAGCCCTGGAGCAGGCGCTGGGCTGGGTGGTCGCTTTGCTCCGGGCTGCCTGCTCACCGGCAGTGCTCTGCCTCTCGCTCTCCTCTAACCCTGCAGGGACCGCAAGCGGCGACTATGGGCCGACTGGGCTATTGGACCTTGCTGGTGCTGCCGGCCCTTCTGGTCTGGCGCGGTCCGGCGCAGAGCCAGGCGGCGGAGAAGGGTCCCCCGGCGCTGAACATTGCCGTGTTGCTGGGTCACAGCCACGACGTGACGGAGCGCGAACTTCGAAACTTGTGGGGCCCGGAGCAGGCAGCTGGGCTGCCCATGGACGTGAACGTGGTAGCACTGCTGATGAACCGCACGGACCCCAAGAGCCTCATCACGCACGTGTGCGACCTCATGTCCGGGGCGCGTATCCACGGCCTCGTGTTTGGAGACGACACTGACCAGGAGGCTGTGGCTCAGATGCTGGATTTTATATCCTCACAGACTTTCGTCCCCATCTTGGGCATCCACGGGGGTGCATCTATGATCATGGCTGACAAGGTAAGGCTGCAAGGTGAGGGCTGCCAGCACCCCCCCCCCCCCCCCCTTCACACACACACCGGAGAGTGCCAACTGTATGGTAGTCGCTGCAGGTCCTGGGCCACACCTAGCATGGGTGTGATTGGTCTCAAGTCAGGAGTCCCGGCCCCTGCCCCAGTGAGCACCAGGCTGTGCCATGTGGAAAGGAGCGGAATTACCATTGCTTCGGTTCTGAATACTTGGAGAAACCTCTGTGTGCCAGAAAGAACCCCTCAAATGCGGAAGAGGGGTGGGTGGAGGAGGTGGAATCTCTGGAGATTTCCTAGTAGTGCAGAGAAGGCCCGGGGACACTGGTAACAATGGCTTCTATTTCTACAATGTCGATTTCACCTCATTGTTTTAAGGGGGATCTATCCATTTTTCCCTTCTTGTGGTAAGTGACTAGAACTATTTAAAAATAGTAAGAACAGGTATGTTGTAGGACAAAATATGGGGTTTTTAGATGAAGCACAAATGGACAGAGTGCCGTTCTTTCCCAGACTCTGCACAATTAGACAAACCAAGGCAGACAGAGAGTTTTGAGAGATCTTGGGTTAGAGATGGTGGAACCCTTAGTCTAGGCAGTGGGTCTGAGAGGAGAAGAGTAAGTCCAGGTCCAGAGCACAGAGGGGTTGGTGGTTTCTTTAAATGGCCTCATGTGGGGCTGACCACTTCCTGACTGGGCCCCCCAAGGTGGATGTTGGTATCAAAGTTGAAGACCTTCAGAATAAAGGGAAATGTCTACATTTCTTGACTTCTTTGGTGACAGTCCAGAAGCCATGGTTTGGCAAGGAGAAGAGTGGTTGAAGGCTTGGGTAAAAGGCTGGGAATGATGCTGAAGCAGAGAGAGGGAAGGAAGTTGGAAGGGAGACATAAATTGAGAAATGAGAAGCTTCGGAGTTACTAGTACACTATAATACCACATAAAACTGGGAACTTGGGGGTGGAAAAGGGGAAGGGAGGTGAGTGTATTATGAGCTGTGGTCCCTAGCCTGAGGCCTTTTTGGACAGCATTCCTTGGATAGTAAAGATGTCCTGATGGAGGGAGCAGACATTTGTTACCACCTCTTCCTTTTGATGCTCTCCAAGCACTTTTACATTCACCAAATCAGACCGTGCCTCTGCTCAGCACTTTCCACTGGCTCCTTTGGAAGCTGTATTAATTCTTTCAGGTCTCCTGGGCTGTAGCACATTCAGCTGTAGTGTACCACTGATGCAGTATCTTATTAAACATTCATTTTAAATGGTTTGCAGCCCAGCAGCGGCCCCATGTGTGTGTGTGTGTGTGTGTGTGTGTGTGTGTGTGTGTGTGTGTGTGTGCTTGGACATTTTCCCAGCTACCTCCTCACTCTGGGGGCTTCCTTTCTAAGATGATGATATGCCTCCAGTGTATAGGCCATTTCAGAATTGGAAAGGCTGTTGGGGTTTACTAGATATTAAGTAACTGAGGCACAGGGCAGTTAGAGACTTGGCCAAGACCACACAGTGGGTGATGGAACTAGATATCTGGTTTTCTGGTCCCAAGCTGTGATCTTACATTCTATCAAATCATACCCATCCTTTAGCGTTGTCATCCTAAGGGATACAGAATCAATCTGATTATAGAGGAGGAACTTAGCCATGGAGAGTTGCAGTGAATCATGACCTAAAAGGCTTGCGTGGGGAGGGAGAGGTCAGCCTTCTGGTGAAGGCATGAGGAAGGAGAGCAGCAGCTCCCAGCAGGGGTGGGGAGGCTGAATTGGGATCTAACTATTATCACTGATTCTCCCTCCATCTCGAGATTTCGATGAAAGGAGCGACACACTTAAAAGAACAATAACCACACTGTAAGTGAAATTTCTGGATTCACAAGGGACCAGCAAAACCCAATGGAGAACTCTGGTGCCAGGTGAATTGGGGAAGGGACTTGAGGAGGGTAGGTCCAAATAACCTGTAGATCTTGTTCTTTCTACTCTATCTGAGCTGGCAAGCATATGGTATAGGCTCTTATCTGACTAACCCGCTGTAGACAGAAAAATAGGCAGAGAAGGCATGCTCATAAGTGAGCGCCCCTTGAGTGCAACGACCTTGTCTTCCTGTGCAACTTGATCCAGAGAATGCCAGGCTCCAGAAAACTAGTCCAGCACCACTTCAAGAGGGTATTGGAAATGGACTTTTAACAAGCCAGAGGGATGGATGGAGGTGTTCTTGTCTCCCATGGCATGAGGTTGAATTATGGAAATGTGAACAGAAATTGCACAAGTGTTCAAAATTGTGTACTTAGAGAAAGGAAGGAAAATGGCACAGGAAAGTCAAGAAAGTAAGGTTCCAGAAAAGACAAGATTAGAGAATGACTGAAGGGAGAAGAGAGGAGCGGGAAGAAGACATCCATCAGCTCAAAAGCAGAGGAAGGAGTTGGCTACTGTTTGGTCTTTCAGACTCAGTCCTAGAGAGAGTGCCCTCATGCTGGTGTAACCAGAGGGGCAGGGGGTAGAGGAAGCCAGTGGGGACAACACTGAGGGCATATACTGGGTTCCATGTGGGTTCCATGTGGGTTCCATGTGTGGGAGGCACATGTGATATTGAGAGGAGTTGGTTTGAAGGGTGGTACTCTGAGAAACCTAGATATATTGAGAAAGGAAAGAAGTTGTCTAAGATGTGAACGGCCTTTCCTCCCATTAGTTGCATATCTACTTGTTGTGTGCCTCTGCCACCTCTTTCAGTTAGAGCTGAATATTGAGACGAGTTTGTTTGGCTCCAAAGCATTAGTCATAGAATGTTGCCTAAAATTCTACCATGATTGAGTGTGCCAATGGTGTTAGGACCACAAAGTCATAACTTCCCCAAATTGGCAAAGCTCTTCTGCCTGCCTATACTATGATGTGGCTAGTAATGTCCAGCACACCTGTGTAGTCTTTTATTTCTTTTCTTTTTGTTGGTCTTGGGGCTTGAACTCAGGGCCAGGGCACTGCCCCTGAATTTCTGTGCTCAAGGCTATAACACTATCACTTTGAGGCACAGCTCCATTTCTGGTTTTCTGGTGGTTAATTGGAGATGAGAATCTTATGGACTTTTCTACCCAGGCTGGCTTTGAACCACAATCGTCAGAGCTCAGCCACCTGAGTAGGTAGGATTACAGGTATGAGCCCCAGCTTGTCTTTCTCTTCTAAACTGGCGACATTCACACACGAGTAAGTGGTTAATTTATTACTGCAAATGAGCATACATGTATGCAAACACACACACACATACACACACACTCACACACTCTCTCCTCCCCTCACAGTTTTTACCTTTCCCTCAAATTACTTGACCTGTGAAGAAAAGAACAAAACATATGATAATTGAGTGATGCTAAGTGGCAGATTTTCTCATGTTCATTTAATTTAGCGCGGAGGTGTTAATTTTTGTTGGGCTGGTGGGTGGTCTTACAATATAATTAAAGGAGAGGGAAAATAATGTTGCTGCAGATAAAGTTCTAATCTTACCTCAGTTTGACCATTTTCATTGTATCCAAGTGGAATACTCTCTGGCTTCAGTCTCTGGTCCCTGAGAAATACAGCGAACAGAGTAGGCCTTCATGTTTCTGTATTGACCCTAGGACTCTGCCTCATCTTCTTGGTGAGAGGACATGACTCAGATTTTAGCTATGCCATGTAGTTTTGCTTTTCTATGTTATTTCTGTACATATCTCTTCTCTAGTAGAATGTAAGTCTTTTGAGGGTCAGTTGACGGAAAGAGTTTGTGTGTATATGTGTATTTAAAATAATTAAAGTTCCTCCTGTAGCCACACTTTATTCATTGTTGAGCACTTAGAGAGTACATTAAAGTTTAAAAGAAGAAAACAAAAAAAATGTTGCTCCAAATTCTATTATTAGGAGTAATATAACTGTCACTCTGGTCTATTATTTTACCTATCTGATGATATGCTTTATTTCCAAGATATGTGATTGGTTCCTTTCCCTTGCTTATTTAAAAAAAGGTTTTGGAATGTTTAGTCTCAAAAGACTTTTGTACAAGGGATTGGCCACTGTATTCCTCATGCGTGGGGTTTCAGAGGGCTTAGTCCGTGGCCCTGTGGTGCCACATGCTTGAGCAGAACTTCATGGTCCTGGGACTGTGTGGAGGAGGCCGCTCACTTAATGGTGGACAGGAAGTAGAGATTTCCTTGTTTCCTGTTCAGTTTTATAAAACAACTCTCCTCACAGTGTGTGTGTGTGTGTGTGTGTGTGTGTGTGTGTGTGCGCGCGCGTGCGCACTGCGCGCGCCAATCCTTCGCTAGATCCTTCAAGGAGTTGAGTGATACGTATCATGAAGTCCTTTTCCAATTGCTCTAGCATGTTTGGTTCTTGAGTTATGAATTCTTCCATTTATAGAAGCTGTTTATTGGATGTCCTCATTTGTTCTTTAATTTTTGTTTGTGAATTTATTTTACTTTTGATTCATTTGTTGTTATTGTAAAGGTGATGTACAGAGTGGTTACAGTTATGTGGGTCAGATAAAGAGCACATTTCTTTCTGGACAGTGTCACCTCTTCCCTTCTCCCACTCTCTCCTGTGTCTACCCACAAGTTACATAGTTCATTTTCAACATAGTGTCTAATGAGCATCACTGCTGCATTTGTTCACCCTTTGTCCCATCATTTCTTTGCCCCCACCTTGCCCTTTCAAAAGTAGAAAAATGAACAAACAAGACAAAAAGGAAAGTAAACAAAATCAACAGCAAAACCCCTCTTGTTCCCATTTGGTGGAGTTCATTTTGATAAATATCATTTAATATGGTCAGATGCACATAGCTATTGTGCCTATGTGTTCCTCTCTTAAGAATATCCTCTTTTGGTCCCACTCTGTGAATGCCTCGAGACCTGCATAATTTATGTGAATTAATTTTTAAGGCACTTTAAGCATTTCTTCTAATTTGATATATAATTTGATATATGTGTGCTATCTAAAAATATTCATTTTCCCCTTGTGGTGCTTAGGCTAGAACCCAGGACCTCAGGC